TATGATTCAAGAAGAGCCCCGATATATCTACTACAATATGAAGTACGAATACAAAGTAAACAGGCAAAGAATAGACATGCACCTGTTATTAGGTATTTATCCTTAGATTCATTATATTACATAACATACATTATATTTAAAGTCTTATAGGGTTAAACTTTAGTCACTGACCACAGTCAAGTGCCTTTTCACTTAGTTAAATGTTTTACACTCATTGACATTGAAGAAATGTACTGAAAGATTTTAATATTCAGTTGATCTCTGCTATTTTAAGCAGAAGGCAAATTTTAAGAAGCACTTGTGGTTAAAACCCAATGATTTTATCAGATGTATTTTTTTTTCTTAATATTAATTTTCCCTTTGTGCAATGCTGGTATTCAGTGGAGGGCTAGGGTTGGTGAAAAAATAAATCCCAAGCCCTTGTTTTCTATTCGAGTTTGCTCAATAAATTTTATCTGTTAAACATTCAGAAATATCGAGTACATCAAGCTTTTCAATATTTCACCCTTTTAGTCCTTATAATTTTTTGTTGCTTACTTGCTTCTGTGATTTCACGATTTCATACTAGACTGACCAATACCACTTTTAAAATTGCACAGCAAATTTCGCTGTCGAGCATTTCCCAGTAAGCGCCAAATAACAGGACTGAAATGGTGATGCAACATTTTTTAGATTTTTCAAAATTGACATAGAAAACTTGTCATTCCCTTATTTTGGCAACATTCACCTCAAATGCGCATTGGAATTTATGATAAAATTTCAGACGGGTCCAGCATCTGAACTAAAAGAAAATGGTCATCAATCTCCCAAACCTGTACCCTCTGGGCCAAAATATTAAAATTCCTCAGTGACGCAATTCAGATACATACATACATACATACATATATATATACTCTCACACCAGACAAGACTTGATTTTCTCTGTGTGGTATGATGTCTTCTCCATTTCTATGGGTTAAGCAAAAATTAAACAACCAAGAGACAAATCCATTCAACTTATTTATTTTTCTTCTTTTCAATATTTTTACAGAAAGTAATGTCTTTCAATATCCCTCAAGATCCATTTTTTCATGTACGTGAATCTTCTATCCTGTGTCTGTATTATAACATTACAGTAATTCTGTGTAGAATGTTCCCTGCTGATCTTTCCCGCAGGTAGGATAACAGTGAAATATTTTTATCTGTTTGACTTGGCAACTCTTTCCAGTTCATCCTTCTTCTTGATAGCATAAGAGTTGGAGGACCCCTGAAACAACAAATTCAATTCTCATCTATTAGCGCCAATTGGAATAATATTTTTCCTGTGATGCGTAACGTATATTTAGGCTGTCCCTTAAAATGAAACTGAAACTCGTTTGTTTTAATGTTAAACAAGATCCAAATTTGATTTACAAGAAAATGATTCATTAATTCTGGTCTGCAACCAAGCAAATAAAACTCACATCAACAAACATTTGAAATGCTGAAGTACATATTTGTACACATTTAACACTAAATGTATTCACCATGTACACATTTAACACGTGAACATATTTACCACAACAAGAGAAACAAAAATTTGTCATACCTTTGCTGCATTAATCAATTCATCAGCTAAGCACTCAGCAATAGTCTTAATGTTACGGAATGCGGCTTCACGTGCCCCCGTACACAACAGCCAGATGGCTTGGTTGACACGCCTCAGTGGGGAGACATCAACGGCCTGACGCCTTACAGTACCAGCACGCCCAATACGTGTGGAGTCCTCCCTGGGGCCACTGTTAATGATAGCGTTTACCACAACTTGGAGTGGGTTCTGAGGGGGGAGAGAAAAAAAGATCATGTAGACAAAGCTCTAGCTCGGCCACTTATTTTTGCAATGAGAAAGAAATTCTGATATAATAAGGGACAGTGTAAATTATATGCCAACAAGATACACTTCAACTCAATGTGATAACATACTAACAGTGAAAACCTCTCCTAGAATATTGGAAAAACCATGCAGAAAAAAAAAACTATATGTCCTATATATTACCTCTCCAGTGAGTAAATAGATGATTTCAAATGCATGTTTCACTATGCGCATGGCCAAGAGCTTTTTGCCATTGTTACGTCCGTGCATCATGAGAGAGCAGGTCAGGCGTTCCACGATGGGGCACTGTGCCTTCCTGAACCTCTTCACCTGGTAACGACCACCAGAGTGGGGCACAAACTTGGCATACTTCTCCTTGACAGCAATGTAATCCTAGAAGAGAATTGAGAATAAATGACAAACTGCAAAACATAATAAAGCAACTATGTAAGTCAAAACTCCCAATTATAACAAATTCCCACTTTGTATTTTCATTTATTTTATTATTATTATTTATTTTTTTTTTTTTTACATTTTAGACTTTTACATAATTTAAATTTAGAGAAGCTGCTTTCAAGTAAAAAACAATATATTGCCCTATTTTTTATTAGAAAACATTGCTTCATCTGGTTTGCTTCACATCTTGGTCCTATTTAAAATTAAACAACTTTACCAACTGTAACAATTTTTTTAATCTTTTTACAACATCAACTTGAAAACGTGTTATAATTCTGAAAATCATTTGCTTTTTAGATGCTTGCCACCCACATCTGCAGGGGCAGATCCAGAGATATTTTCTGACAGGCTTCCAAATTATCTTTATTAATCCATCCTCCATTTTTGACCGTCTTCCATCAGAAGAAAATTAGATAACCATCAATGTAAATTTGAAAATCTGACTGTCTTCCGGAAGACCCAGAAGACGGCTTAAATCCGCCCCTGATCTGGGCCCACAGAGATAGTGGAAGAGCACCCTGACCTGTACCTGGGACAGTGTCATAGTAATCCGTGTCACTATGCAAAGTCTCAGAATAACTGAAGAAGTCCAAAGTGTTGGAGGGAAGCTGTCATGGGTATAACAGCAATTTATGTGAAAGAAATGAAAAGTGTAAACTGTGACAATGAAACACATCTGCCGGACAACTTTCATCAGAATGTTAACTGTTCTTACACAAATTCTGAATGAAATAAATAATAAACTATCACTTATCTGAAATGACATGCAATGTTACTTACTGTCAAGCTGATGTCACTAACTTGGACATCTTCTGATGACCAGCGACCGAAGAGCTTGATCTCCGGAGCTTCTGCTACAGCAGCCACAGGCGCAGCAACCTCGCTATCCCAGTTCTCCATACTGAGAGCTGCAGAATACAAGACATACTCCATGAATGAGACTGGTCAACTTGGAAGTTTAAGCATTTTAAGAAAAAACAGTGACATCGACTAATAACTCAAGGTATAATTTGCATCGACTTGAAGGGACATAATAAAATGTTAACATCCATAAATACTGACAATATTTATAACTCTTGGCCCTGCTCAAAACTGTGTCATTACCACTTACAAAATGAGAATGCACAATATGGCTTTACCAAACAATCTGTGATTTTGGCAGGCTTATATGATTAAGAAAAAAAAAATTATGATTAATGCTTCAAAAACTGAACAATCAAAAAAAATTATGATTAATGCTTCAAAAACTGAACAATCAGACGACTCCCTGTTCCTTTTCTTCAGGTCTTATACGAGTAACACTGCAATTTTCATGGTTTTTCACAATTTAGTTTTGTGGTGTCTTTGATTAATGTCACTGCTGTTAATACTAATTTCTTTTTCAATCTTTATTACTGTTATTTCGTTGTCCACCCCTGAATGGGCTCGAGGGGCATTTTCCTAACAAATTTCACACCAAGGAAAAGTAAGAATGAGACAGTAAACTGCCAATTGTGGGCTGCTTTAATCAAAGTGAAAAGCTACTCCCTCATCTAGGTGGATTATACATAATAACTTTTGGAGTTCGATTTTAACATGATTTCACATGGGCGCAGCCATATTTGATTCTCGGCAATAATACAAGGTTCGTTTTCTGTATCAAATTAAATAATCATTGAACAGGTTTTCGATTACAACATGACCAGAGAGAATTCTTTGGTTTTTATTTTGTATACAAGCAGACCGACAGCAGTAACAATAACACACGTTTGGATATATTGAGCATTTTTTCAGACCATAGAGAAGCATCAAGTACCTGTACACTAGCCTTGTAAAAGAGGCCGAAGAGGGTTTCCTTCGGCTACAACACGGGCTCCGGAAGTCAAAGAAAAATTAGGTCAAGTTTGCTGACAGAGGTAAGCAAGTACTGTACTGTGAACTGATATGGAGGTTTTTCTTTAGAAGGGAGGGGGTGGTGCACGGGATGGGAGTACAGCTCAGGAAATTTAATGCAATAGACAGTGCCTGAGATATAGGTATGCAATATCAGTCTGTGTAAATACAGTATCCTCGCCATATTTGTAGGGTTTTTTTAATTATAAATAGAGGACAGAAAAAATCAGCTGATCGTCAATCATGACTTGGAGTCCAATCTCAGTCAATGCACAAATATTGTTTCAGACTTAAAATTAAGCACGGAACTAAGGGCATTTTTTAGATGTGCCCTGTATTTTCATAACTTTTGACGAACTCCATTTATTAAATTTATTCCTAAATTTGCTGACCTCTCTTTTTCAGAATTGAACTTGAGGTGCTGCAGCGTTTTACGATGCCACCAGTGGTGCTTTATTGGTGCTGTTGGAACTGGTGTTCTAGTGGTGACTCCAGCAATGGTGCTTTAGAATATGCTGCCTGTTGGTAGTGGGTGTGAAGTGTTTGTCTATGCCATGATTGAGAATGGGTCGAGTTCCATGGGTAAATGCCTCTTTGCTTTCCTACTACTCACTGCCCTTCCCTTATTTATTTATTTATTTATTTATTTATTTATTTATTTATTTATTTATTTATTTATTTACTTTCAAAAATGGATCAGACTAAAAACAAAACATCTGTAAATATTTTGATAAGACTCCTGCTCTGTACTGAGTATGTTATTTTTTATGATTTGGATTTTTGAATAGAAAGGCATCATAAAAATGCAAATATATTTTAAAGGTATTAAAATATGTGATATATGCAGCAGTTTGTAGAGACAACTGTATGTTTTGTATATTGTGTCACTAGATGATAATATGAGTATTATGCTGCAAGTATTCACACAGGCATGTTTATTAAAATGTTTTAAAAAAATCAAAAGTTTATTATTCATGTAAAGAAATGCCTTTTTAATTTTTCCAGAAAATTGCCCATATCAGACCACACCACCTGTTACTGGGGACTGTGTCTCTAGCCATCTTCTCTTGGCTTCTTATAAGTTGTTATCTGGACTCGGCATCCCACTGTCAGGGCTTGATATACCAAGATTTTATAGTAAGTATGTGTTTATGTTTACATATATGTATATATATATATATATGTTCTCTATGTGTAAATGAGAGAAATAAATGAATTGGAGATTATTGGAGGTTAGTGATGTTGGCCTAAGGCTTCTTTTAAGGATTTTATGGACATTCCTTTCCTGAGTTGGATGGCAGTTTCTCTTTATTATATTTTATCAAAAGATGTGGCATGTTTTATGACTTACTGATGATTCAGAACCAATTTTAATTCATTCTTGCCACTATGTATGTTGAAACAAAAAGAGCTTTAGATAAGCTTTTGATTTTATTTATTTATGTAATTTCTTGTAAGCAAGCACATAACAGCCCAAGAGAAAGTGCAATAAATAATACTGAAACATAAACAAAGAATATGGTGTTTTTTCCCAGTGTGACCAGTATCAGAAAATGACAGTTGGTGGAGAGCTATGTAAAGATCTTTGTGAAGATGGCAAGCTGAAGATGGGGACCTGTCAGCTAAATTCTAAACATGGTGCTAGTGTGGTAAGTGATAAAACAAACAAACAGCAATAAAGAGACTGATTGGTGATCAGTCAAGATGAGAAATGTTTATGC